CTTACCAAGAAGTTGTGGTCTACTATGTCAAATGCCTTACTGTAATCCAAGTATATTATGTCCATAGCATTTTGCTGACCCGTTAACTTAGTCATTTTGTCAAATAATGAAATAAGATTGGTTTGGCGTGATTTTTTTTAACAAACCCATGCTGGTTTCTAGATATAACTTTATTTCTTTCTAGATGTTCGCAGATCTATTTTTTGATTATCAGTTCCAGTATCTTCCCAGGTATTGATGTTAGGCTGATTGGTTTGTAGTTTCCTGGGTCTGGTTCCCCCCCCCTTTTTTTTGAAGATGGGAACCACATCAGCTCTTTTCCAATCCTCAGGTAGTTCCCCAGTGCTCCAGGATTTTTTGAAAAATATGGTAACATCTGCCAGCTCCTTCCAAACTCTGTGATGTAATCCGTCAAGTCCCAGTGATTTATATTCATCAAGATCAGACATGTATTCTCTTAATATTTTCTTGATTATTTTAATTTTTATTTCTAGGCTGTTTTTTATGGTTATGTTTTTGGTAGATTGGGCTACTTTATTTTTTTCTTTTTGCGTGAAGACTGATGCAAAGAATGAGTTAAGCAGCTTTGCTTTCTCTCTACTGCCTGTTACTTCCTTGTTGTCTTCTCTTCTTAGAGGACCGAGTGTTTCCTTGACTCTTTCTTGTTATTTATATGTTGAAAGAAACTTTTTTTTATTACATTTGACTTTTATTGCAAATCTCCATGCTTCTTCAGTTGTTTTCCCCTTTAGGATTTTCATCCATGGAATCTTTCCTAGGCTCTCTCTGAGTTTGTTAAAATCAGCTCTTTTAAGGTTTAAAATACTGGTTGGATTATGTTCTCTTGCTTGTGTTTGCACTATTGTATTCCAATAAGATGTGATCAATCTCGCCCAAAGTTCCAGCAACTTCAACTCCCTCTATCACTTCTTCTCTGTTAGTAAGAATTAGGTCCAGTATAACTTTTCTTCTAGTTCCCACCTCTACCTTTTGAATGACCAAGTTGTCAACTAGGTTGGCCAGCCATTTAGGCAGTCTGCTGTCCAAGAGCCCATGGCCTGGTCCCAGGCCGCGGCTCATAGGTTGGGGATCCCTGTTCTAGGAGGTTTTCATCCTTAGTTTTGTGTATTTCTATAGAGATGTAGTGATCTTTTATATATAATGCAACTCCACCTCCTCTTTTGTTAGGTCTGTTTCTTTTGAACAATTTGTATCCTTCCGTCAGTACATTCCAGTCATGAGTTTCATCTAGTTTCAATAATGGCAAGTATATCATATCTGCCTCCATGTGCTAGTACTTCAAGTTCACTCTGTTTGTTCCCTAAACTTTGAGTGTTAGTGTACAGGCATTTAAGTTCTTTATGGCTGACCCTGGGTTTGCTTCCTATATCTCCTACTTTGCATCTGAGTTTTTCTTATTTCTCTTCACTCCCTACCTTCTTATTTGATTGGTGGCCTAGTGGATTTTGCTTAGAATTAGGTCCTAAATGTTGTAAAGATTGGTCACCTTTCCTCCTCACCTTCTGATAAGGTGAGTCAGTTGCTTTCCAGTACAGCTCTTGTGAAGTGCTATCCATCCCTTGCCAAGAGCCCTTCATGTAGGTAATGCAGACTATGGTTTAGGAACCCGAAATTCCTAGACACCAATTCTTAAGCCAATGGTTCATTTTTAAAACCCTTTGCTCACTCATTGGATGTTGGCCTTTTGTTGGAAGTATGGACAAAAACACCACCTGGGTTCCTAGCTTCTTAACTTTCTTCCCTAGCTGTTCGTAATCTCTTGTTATTGTTTTCAGGTTCATTGTTGTGTCATTCGTCACCACATATCAGAGAAAAAAAGGGCAGTAATTTGAGAGTTTATTATTTTAGTAAAGTTCTCAGTCATATCTTTGATTTTTGCTCCAGGGAGACAACATACCTGAATGTCCGGTCTACAGATGGCTGGTTCTGTTCTCCTGAGAATTGAGTCTCCTATCACCAACATTCACCTTTTTTAACCTAGGGAAGCCTGAGTTATTTTTCTGCCTTTCACTGCAGCACTTGATGATGCTTCTTTTCTAGGTGTATGCATGCTTTCTTCCAGTGGGAGATTATGAAATTGATTGCTTAGCTTCAGAACCAAGACAGAGTAAGGATGTCCCCTTCAATCTTTTCCTAGTTCCCCAGAGGGCTGTTAAGTAAGGGAGAACCTGGCTTATAATTAAGGGTGGCGACAGGAACAAGGACCTAATATTCTGGTTGCTATCTAGCCCCAGACATGAATCAAATGGCCTGAAGAGACGTGCTGGTTTGATAAGATGTTCATAGCATTTTGATATTAGGCAGAGTACTGAACATGCTTTCATTTCGTCAGCTGTTGTAGTATATTCCTTTTTACAGGTTTTAAATTTGTGATGTGGAAAATTTTAATTTGCACAAGCAAAGTGTTGAAAAATGAATGAGAATTTCTGGGTCCTTTTTTTGTATCTGTGAGTATTCATCTGCATCCAGTATTCTTTAAAAGCCATTTTTCTACTTTTTTTTAAAGGAATGTAGTAGACTCAGGACTTTAGAGACCAGTCAGCTTAACCTCAGTACTTGGAAAAATCCTAGGAAAGACAATTAAGTAATGGTTTCATAAGTTTATATGAAGGAACTAGGTGATCATATGAAGCCAACATGGTCATACCCTCTGAGAAATATAAGGTTCATATCCAATTTGATGAATATTCCCAAACTGGATGTGATCCTAAGAAGTCACAATTGTACCAGGATGGTCTGGTTTTAAAATTGAGAAAAAGGTTAAATATTTGGGTGCTACCTTGACTAATATGAATTGTATGTGATTTCAAAATAATTATGTTAAGGTATGGAATGAAGATAAAAAAGATACATTATGATGAGAAAAATTGCAATTATCATTATTGGGAAGAATCTCTATGATTAAGATGGACATTTTACCTAGAATGCTGTTTTTATTTCAAACAATGCCTATGTTGACAGCTGATGTACCATTTAAGCAATGGCAAAAAGATATTTCCAAATTTGTCTGGCAAGACAATAAACTAGGAATTAAATACAAAATGCTGCAGGATAGTAATGTAAGAGAAGAGTTAGTACTATGAGATTTGAAATTATATTTTGCAGCTGGTTGTTTAGAATAGATGAAGAGTGAGTGACTTTGAGAAATTGAAAATTTTTGGAACTGGAAGGATATGATTTAAGGTTTGGTTGGCATAGCTATTTGTGGTATGATAAAGTTAAAGTAATTGTAGATGTTAAAACTCACTTTATTAGAAATGCCATATTGAGAGTTTGGTATAGGTATAAGACACGATTGTCTTCTAAAATCCAATAGTGATTGGATACTTGATTTCCTTATTGATAGGCCCCAAGTTGTGCGAGTTAGAAAGGTTTCCAATTCCATCTCCTTGAGTACAGGTTCTCCACAGGGCTGTGCTGTGCCAAATCTGCCATGAATCATATTGTGAAGTATGCAGAAAACACTGCAATGGTGAGTCTTATCTGGGATGACAGTGAAGATACTTAATCAAGGAAGTGTCAAAAAGAACAAACTCCCATCAACACTGACAGGGCAAGGAGTTTGTATATAAATAGAGAGCAAACCCCACTCTTTTCTAGCACTGATGTGATACTATCTAGTTGGGTAAAGGCATGTATGCAAGAAGACAACCAAGGTCAGAGAGGACCAAGGACTTCACATGTATAATTGGATTTTAAATATTTGTTGGAAATGTAATGGCGCTGAGGGTACATCTTTGGGGGACATGTAAGAAAACTAGAAAACGTTGGGTTCAAATATATATTTTGGTTCAGGAGATATTAAAAGGAAATGTACAGTTGAAACTAGAGACTTTCCTTTTGGAATTAATGGACAACAGATTGAAAAATTTATGGAACTTTTATTTTTGTACATGACAGTAGTGAGACTTCTATATACAAGTAGTCCTCAACTTACAACAGTTCATTTAGTGACTGTTCAAAGTTAAAGTGGCAGTGAAAAAAGTGACTTATGACTGTTTTTCACACAGTTGCAGCATCCCCATGGTCAGGTGATCAAAATTCAGATGCTTGGCAACTGGTTCATATTCATGACTGTTGCAGTGCCCCAGAGTCATGTGAGCAGCTTTTGTGACCTTCTGACAAGCAAAGTCAATGGGGAAGACAGATTTACTTAACAACTGTGTTACTAGCTTAACAACTATATATAGTTATATATACTGTATATAGTTTTATATATATAGTTATATATAATTTAGTTATATAGTTATATATATATAGTTACAGTATATAGTTATAGTTATATAGTTATAGTTTTATATATAGTTTTATGTACGTACGTATGTATGTATGTATATATATGTGTGTGTGTATATACATGTACATGTACATATATATGTATATATACAGTGTGTATATACACTGTCTATTGTTATATTATATTATATTACATTACATTACATTATATTATTATATTTATATCAAATATATCAAAAACACAAATATTACAGGATAAGCTTTGGAATGTGAGAGCGCCACAGATTTGGATGATCAGCTTCAGAGACTTTATAAAGCCCTTCAAATGGGTTTCGAAAATGCAGTTCTATTGTCATCATCTTCATGCCCATATATAAACTTTTGAAAGACAATGGAAAAGCATTTGAATCTGCCGTAGTGCATTCCTGTTCTATTTCTGTCCTTCCTCTTTATAGCATACATTAGAACCTTCATCTAATGTGATGAAGGTTATTTTGTAAGGCAACTTACTGTATATCCACAGGGCATTACTAAAGAAAAGATATGGGAGTTCTTTCCACCTAATTTTGGTAAAATACATAATATAGTTATAATAGATGCATAAAGCCTCAAAGAAATGTCAGTAGAGCAATTCAGTCCAATATGCTATTTGATTTGTACGAAAGACTCTTCTTGAGGATATGAAATAGCTTTTTTACAATAACAGATCATTATAAAAATGGATCATTTTGTAATGTTTTCAGGGCCGTTGTACAAGGGAGAACTGCAAATATCTTCATCCACCAACACATTTGAAAACTCAGCTAGAAATTAATGGTAGAAACAACCTGATCCAACAGAAAACTGCAGCAGCAATGCTTGCGCAGCAGATGCAGTTTATATTCCCGGGAGCACCTTTTCAGCCAATGGTTAGTACTTTTAATGAAATGCCAGCCCAATGCTTTATCTTCACAGCTCACATCTGACTAATATTATACATAAATGAATTTATTGTAATTTTAATATATAGATTGCAATATGCTATCGTCAAATATTGTCAAGTAAAATGTATAAATCATTTTTATGAACTTTTTCTGTTTGTAATCTTATTGCAACTGTTGAACTTTTTGCATTTTGGGAGCAAGCCAGTTTATTCTGGACAAACTACAAAGAAAAACATAGTGGAGATTCAACTAAGCTGAATAATTTATATATTACTTTGCTTATCACCTACACACATATATTTATAAACATATAGTATTTGCATAATTTATTTATGGGGATTGGTGAATATTTAGTTATGAAAATGTAGCCTGTGATGTGAAAATCCTAAACTGACCCAGAAACTTTTTGATATATAGAAATCATTAAAAGTAAAAATAGTAAGAAATTTGGGGTAGTGATTAAGGTATTAAATGAGAAACCAGGAGTTTTAATCTGGCTTTAGGCATGAAGTCAGTTGGATGACATTGCCAAGAAAACTGGCAACTTTCCAGGCAATCGCCAGAAGTCCATAGTGACTTGAAGGTGCACATGAGCACATGCGGGTACACAAGCACACACATACACACTCTTTATTTGTGTACTGCTTGGATCAGAAATTTAATGTTTTCAAATGCTGTTTCTCCTTTAAAAAAAACTTAAATCTAGACTTGGGGGAAAGTAGCACAGTTTTCATTTAATCAGTAATTCATATATTTTAAAATTTATCTCACATGAAATATTTTGGTGTACTACTGGGAGCTGTACTATCGAGCAGCGGCCTTGACGTGGATTAGGGATTGGATTACTCTGGAAAACAAAAGATGTTTATACCTAGAGGGGCATGACCTCCAGCAGGGTTGGCATGCTCATTTATGGACAGGGAAAAGTAGGAACCATCAATATTTCTTGAGGCACAAAGTTCGGTAAGAACTCATAAAAAGTTGGAACATAGTTAAAAGCCAACACTATATAGGAGTTCCAGGTTGGTTCTCACCATTAGAAGCAGTTACATACCCCAATGTATACAGGCAAGATAAGGTCATTACATATAAAGATATTCTGTCAGAGGAAGGCCATCTAAAGCAAAGACAAGAGTTGAGACAACAGGGAATAGTTTTGGAATGGTGGTCTTATCTTCAGATGCAAGCGAGATATGTGAAAGACAAGAAAGAGTGGGGAATTAATAGATGAGATATGGGGCTTGATAAAATAATACTAGGCTCGGAGAGAAAGCAAATTAAAAATATATATAAATACATATTAGAATATAAATTATATGAGGAACAAGTCAAAGAAACGATGGTTACCTGGGCAATAGATTTGGGACACGCTATAAATCTGGACCAATGGCAGCAAACTTGGGAATGTAACAATAAAATTACATTGGCATCATCTTATAAAGAAAATCTTTATAAGATGCTTTATAGATGAAATCTGCCACTGGCCAGACTCGCAAAAATGTATAGTGGTTACTCACCAATTTGTTGGAAGTGTAAAAAGGAAAAGGGTACATTCTTTCACGTTTGGTGGATTTGTAAAGAAGCACAGGTTATTGGCTTAGGGTTTGGAGATGGATAATAGAAATGATGGGTCAAAAAATTCAATATAAACCAGAGATGTTTTTATTAGGAATATTAGAAACAAATATAAACAAAGATGATATATATTTAATTATACATGTGATAACGGCGGCAAGGATCTTGTTTGCCCAAAACTGGAAAGCAATTGAAGTGCCTAGCGGAAATGTGCTAATAGAAAAAATCTTACATTGCACTGAACTGGATAAGATAACTAAGGAATTAAAAAACCAGGAGGAAACAGAATATTACCGAATTTGGAATAAATTTTACAAGTGGAGGGAAACAAGAAGGAAGTCGATAGAAGGAATATAAATAGGGGACTTGATATGTATAGCTGTATATGTAATATTTATTCTTATATGTAAAGTATGGAATGATTACACAAAGATGTATGTCAAAGATGATACACCACGTTCAATGTTTTTAATCTTTTTTTTTCTTTCCTTTGTATTCAACAAAATATTTAAAAAAAATATTTTGGTGTTGAATAACACCAGAAAGGTCCTTAATGTATACTTTTTTCATCCTTGTTAGAAGAATAACATGTAGCATAATCATGGATAATAAATTGTAGTTTTGATTTATTTCCAACAGTTCATACCAAGGTATGTCCTCAATTGTCTTATTCTCCAGCACAGGAGATGGAGAATCCACCAATGGGTTTTCTCTGTCTGCCTGCTCTTGAGACCAAGTTAGCCAAGCTTGACACACACCCTGTTGCTAGGGGATCCCAGTCTTGACTTGGTCTCAAGCTCTTGAAGACGTGTCAGGTTTGGCTCTCAGGTTTCAGAGTAGATTTAGCAGGTTAGAGATCCATTGATGAATTCTCCTTACATCTCTTACTTTCCTCACGATCCAGGTCAGTAAATCACCCTTGGAATTTCTCCCAGCTGTTCTCCAGGAGCGCTGTGATCAGCGCTGCCTCAAATCGGCCGATTTGAGGCTTGAGGGGTGTGGGAAGGACAGCTGCAGCTTTCCCCTTTCTCCTTCCCCAGGGCTCTGGGTAAATTCCCCTTAAACATCCTTCCCTCGTCAGGCCCCTCGAACAGTTTCCAGCATCATTGCGATCAGCAAATTGTTCTCTGAGGCCTCTGGAGGCCGTCTGTTGACGGGGGAAAGTTGCGGGCACCATTTTGGTTGCTGCCGAAGACACCGAACCTAAAATTTTTAAACGGAGCTTTTCCGACTGAAGCAAGATATGCTTCTTTATCACTAAATTAATTTTGTTCCATTAAACTTATCTGGCCATTCCTTGGTTGGTTAAGCATCCTTTCTATATTTTTAGTTTATATATGTGCAGTGTACATCAATTCCCTCAAAGATAAACATGGCTCCAAAGCTTTCATGCTGAATCAGTTATGCAGTATGAACTTTACCTTTTTCTGTATAATGCCTGTTTCAGAATCCTTTGGAACTAGTTCATCAAAATTAAAACATGATACTCAGTTTAATTTGTTAAGAACACCACAAATATCTAGACACTGAGTTGATACATTCTACTAAGTCAAAATATGGGTTATTTCGGTTTAGTATGTATGTGGACCCAGCTAACATAAATCAGTGAACTTTGATACTGAATTTATTACAGAGCATGAGTGTCTATTTTTCATTTCTATATGTTTATTTATTATTCCTTTTTATTCTCTTTCAGCCATCATTTCCAGTAGGACCAACAATAGGATCTAATCCAGCACTAAACTTTGCACCGTATTTAACTCCAGTTACTTCTGGGGTTGGATTAGTTCCTACGGAAATTGTTCCCACACAATCTGTAATTGTTCCTGGAAATCCCGTCTCTGTCTCTGGATCAGCTCCACCACAGAAACTCCTCCGGACAGATAAACTGGAGGTATGGAGAGCAACATTCTTCTGATACATGCAGTATTTGGTATTTGTTTATATAGGATTGTGAATAAACACAATGCCTATATTTAAATATAAAGAAAAGGCAATTTCATTTCAGTTGGCTACTTAGCATAAGCAATGCCGATCCTCTGCTCTGATCTTTGATATGATAATTGTGCTGAAATGAAGAAGTAAGTGCAGAGTTCATTATTATGGCTATGCAAGGCTTTGTTTTGATACATTTCACATAGCACTAGAAGGTAAGGTAAGAAGATCCTCCACCTCATGAAGCATCAGCACAAGCCTTGTCTATCTTGACTTGCTTTAGTTTAAGGTGACTGACTTCTGTACATGAACAGAAGAACTCTGAAAGGTTAGAAATTCAGTTAAAGTAGTCCCCTGAATCACCTTTGGAACAAATCCTCTCCTCAAATTTTGCCTGGCCTAGTAATTATATTGCTTGTGCAGCAATTGTAATGTAGTATGTAATAGGTAGTTAACATTAATTTGGAAATAGAGAAAATAAACTAAAGGAAAAACATTAAGTTCAGTTAATTGTAGTCCATTACTACCTTTGTGTGCTCCATTCTCAGAGAAGTAATCTTCACATATGGAAAATCTGAGCTTGTTTCTTAAGTTCTCTCAGTCAGAAGTTAAGATATAGAACTGGATATTATCAATATACTAATGATACCTAACTTCATGGCATCAGAATGACTTCATCCACCAGTTTCATATAGATAGAAGTGGGGAGAGGGTGGAACCCCACAAAGCAGAGGTTTAGGGCTAAACTTGTCTCCCCTGTCAATTTGAATGGAACGTATCCGTTAGGAAGGAGAAGTACCATAACACCACCTTCTCCTTTCTAACCCCTGAGTTAGTCCAGAAGGATATCACAATTGATAATATTAAAAGTCACTGAGAGATCAAGTACCCCGATGAATTCAAGATCCATGCAAAATTTATACAATAGAGAAGCCCATGTTATAGACTGAGATGACAGGTCGTACAATTTTCAGAGATTATTTGGGCACAGCTCAAAAATTGCATTTTAAATTCTTTCTTGTACTCAAGTGTGTAATTACCCTCACATCCATAATAAATATTGTTTTGTGCCCCAGGTTTGCAGGGAATTCCAGCGAGGAAACTGTGCACGGGGTGAAACCGATTGTCGCTTTGCACATCCTTCTGACAGCACAATGATTGATACAAATGACAACACTGTAACTGTTTGTATGGATTACATAAAAGGGCGTTGCCTGAGGGAAAAATGCAAATATTTTCATCCTCCTGCTCACTTGCAGGCCAAAATCAAAGCTGCTCAACACCAGACAAACCAAGTGGCAGTGGCAGCCCAGGCAGCTGCTGCAGCTGCTACAGTCATGGTAAGTGCAAGGGGAACAGGGCTCCTTTAAAAGTCAGCTTTTAAGTCCTTGAGCTGGCCACTTTTAAGATGGATTTTTGTTATAGGTTAGCAGCCCAGCAAATCTGTTTCACTCAATAATTTCAGCACAAGGGGTATCTTCCTGGAATGTGGCAAAGCTCAAGATCTTAACTGCCCTTGTTTCTTCTGCATTTTCCTTCGTATTTAGTACAGGCTCTTATTTCTAAAGATTAACTTGCTTTTCACTTGAAAGTTTGAAGTTTGGATAAACTGGCCTGCTAACTACATATACCTTCATATTCACATGGTGGTTTAGAAAATATCCGATGCAGTTATCTAGCTAGGTCTTTCTTTATTATATTTGCATGGTGGTTTATATGGTGACTGTACTGATTAAAATATTAGGAAGAAAGGAATTCATTCATATGCAAGCCTTTTAAATTGAGGGCAAAATACTGGATGTCTTCTTTTTCAAAATAATTTGAAAAAGAGATTACCGGTAGGTGGAAATACGGTTTGTGATAGGTTGATATGCGTTCTCCGTATAGGCTGAATCCTTGGAAGGAAACCTGTGCAAGAAATTTTGCCCAATCTCTCACCATATCTCGTAGTGATAATCTTGGATAGCTCTGTTGTGATATCATTCTGCTAGAATGATCTTTTGAGTTCACCCTTTGTATTTCTTCCTTTAAAAAAAAAAAAAAGATAATATCCCTTTTTCACTCATTGGAGTTTTTGTAAACTTCGTGCATTATTTGTAACATCTACTCACAGTCCAAGAACCTCTTTAAGTGGGTGAAATATTATACTGTTTTTATCTACCTTTTGACTTTATAAAAATGCCATTGAATTGCTAAGTTGTGAAACAAGCACTACTAAACAGATGGCTTTCTATATCATCCTAAAATCTTGTAGGAATATCAGTTTAATGACCATGACATTTCCTATTTACAATATCTTTTCAAAAATAGTTTCTTTTAGTTTAGAAATGCTGAAAGAGGTGTTTTACCCTGAGAATTTCCTTTCTATTAGTGGACTCTTTATGGTAATTTATGTGGTTTATATTTTCAGTATATTAGATAACACAAGCAGAATTTTCAGGTGAGGAAGTGAAGAATCCTCAATACAAAAATCTGTCCTCATTCTTGCCATAGGGCAGGGGTAGGCAACCTTGGCTCTTGGACTATGCCAGCTGGCTCAGGAATTCTGGGAGTTGAAGTCCACAAGTCATAAAAGAGCCAAGGTTGCCTACCCCTGCCATAGGGCAAGTAATAAAACAAATGTAGTTACTTTCAGTGTTCACTGTTCAAATATGTGAACAACCGGTTCTCTGTGTGGATGCCGCTTACGGAAGTCCATTCTGGGCCTGGGCAACAAAAAATTAGCTACCGGTTCTGCCGAAGTGGTGCGAACCGGCTGAATCCCACCACTGGTTACTTTATATAGTACAGTAGATGTTGACTGTAGATTGTACATCCAGCCACCATATAAAATATTGTTATAAACACAGCTAATGTAACTTCTTGCAAGCCTCCACAATGCTCTTAAATCTACCAGAATCATAGAACATAGAATAACAGGGTTGGAAGGGACCTTGAAAGTCTTCTAGTCCAATCCCCTGCTCAAGCAGGAGGCCCTATGCCAGGGGTAGGCAACCTCGGCTCTTTTATGACTCATGGACTTCAACTCCCAGAATTCCTAAGTCAGCAAAGCTGACTCAGGAATTCTGGGAGTTGAAGTCCATGAGTCATAAAAGAGCCGAGGTTGCCTACCCCTGCTTATGCCATTCCAGACAAATGGCTGTCCAATGTGTCCATAATCAATTTTGACGTTTATTGACATCTGGTTTTAGGGATCAGAACTCAAACATCTGCCTCTGTTTAAATAGAAGTCTAGATAGATTGATATTATCAAACATAATTTGGTATAACATAACAAAATAGACATAATCAAGCATAAATAGAAATCTATAAAATAATATAATTTTGCATGCATTTGTTTAAAAAGAAGGAGCATTTAATGTTTTCCATATAGGAATTGACAGGTATAAGCTTAAAAACACTTTGCTACAGTTACAAACCATATTTGTGTTTTTGTGTGAGGACTCCATTCATCACCATCTAAAGTTGGAGAAGTTCTCTTTGCTTGATACCTCGCTGAAATCACTTTAGTCATGTCACTGGGTAATTAAATTTTAGAATTTGCTGCCATAAAATGCAATGATGTGGGCCAATTTGGAAGAAAAAGTGTTTAAAGTTCTAAGGATAAAATGAGAGCTACTAGGCATTATGACTCTAGAGTACTCAATGGCAGTGAGCCTCTAGAGACTAGTTGCTAGGAAACAGCTACCAGGAGGTTTGAATGCTCTCCTGACCTCTTTGTGGGTTCCCCATAGACATTTGATTGGTCACTGTGGGAACAAAGTATTGAACTAGATGATCCTTGATCTGATCCAACACAGATCTTTTTATGGTGTGTTGTTGTTGCACAGCTAGCTTAGAGTTTGGCTGAAGACAAAACCATTTGTGCCAATACTGAAAATACATTTATAATATATCAATAGTAGACATTTGTAAGCAAACAAATCCAGATTAGTAGACATTTGAATTACTGAGGAGTGAGTTCTGAGAAAATGGTGCATATTAGCGTTACGGATTTCCTTGTTGGAAGAGAACAGAAGTTAATTAGAACTCTCCATCATCTTTACAGAATTCAGAATACGAGAGTTTATTCAGCATCGAAGTACAAATAATACACTGCTGCAGGCATGTTGCAAAATAATGGCATGTTGCAAAAAGATAACTATGGTTTGAATTTCCATTATCCTCATTACACAAATATCTCATTCAGCCAACTCAGAATCAAAAGCTTTGTGCAAAGGTTTTCAGTTCTCAAGACTTTTTCCATTTGTGCTGGGGTTGGAAGAGAGCAAAATTCAAGCAGATTTATGGTTATTTTGTAATTTTTGTACAGACCTATGTGATGTATAGAATATAACAAGTTTTTTTCACTGATCCCTCAGATAATTGAATAAATTCTGATTTAATATTAAGAGAAAAAACTCTTGCTGAGACATATACTATATGCACAGGAATAGTAAGATTAAGAGAAAGTAATGCTTTACTAAGACATAAATAATACTATAAGGGAATCAGGCTATTTCTTTATATGGTATCTGCCATAAAAATTGTATATGCTAAGCATTGGAAAGAAAAAGGGATGCCAACTATTGAATAGATTTTGAAATTGACTGAATTAGCAGAGATGGCAAAACTAACAGCCTTGATTAGAGACAATGGATTAGACAATTTTATAAGAGACTGGAACCCGTCTGTGTTAAATTCAAGAACAGATGGTTTACAGACAGATTTGAAGATTAGAATAATGTTTGGGCTAACCTGTTGACTATTTTTCCCGCTTTTACGTATATATTATGATTATTGGGTTGATTTGTTTATTAGACAGATAGATTTCCACATCTGGAATATTTATTTGTTTATATAGCATTTTTGATAAATACAGATGGGAAAGCTTATAACTATTTGTAGACTTGTTATGAAAGGGGAAGAGAACCTATTAGTTTTTTTATTTATTTTTCAGCATCCACTGAGGTGGATTCTTTATGAAGGAAGGCAAATATATGTGTCCCAGGATAATGCTACAAGGTCCAATCTAGGTCAGTCATCAGGACCAGAGATTTAGTCTTCCTAGCTTTCGGACTCAGGTTGGAGCCCATCCTCAGGGAACTTCTCTCTAAAGTCTAGAATATATGCTCTGGGCTAGTCTATGCTTCGTATTTATGTGCCGCCTTCCTATTGGTTTATTGGTGTGTTGCTGGCCAGCAATTGGCTGTTGTTTTTTTGTGCTGCCAAGTCCTCAGCTCCTTAATACCTGATAAGCTGGTGGTAAATCGGCACTCCTATTGACTGACAAGGGGCCTGTTTCCCAGGCTTCAATCATTTTCCTGGCTATCTTTGTACCTGCATGGCCAACAATCTTAGTAGCTGTGAAATTGAACGTATGTCCTTGTTTATTGCAATGTGAGGCTACCAATGAGTTTGGGTCTCCTCATCTGATTGCTCGCTTGTGTTCTTGCAATCTGGTGGTTAGCTTCCTCTCCATCTGTCCTACATAGTCACAGGGGCAGTCCATGCAGGGGATCCAGTAGATTACATTAGAAGTATCTCCCACCTCCAAGCGATCTTTGCAATGCACGATTTGTCCTCGTATGGTAGCCTCTGGGCAATGTGCGATGCCTACTTGCAGATCTCGGAAGTTGCGTTCTACTGCTTCCAAAATGGTTTTGATGTATGGCATAGTGTGCCATATAGTTGGTCTCGTACCTTCTTTCTTCATTTCTCTTTCTTGCGTGTTGCACAGACAACTTGTAATAAATGCTTATGGGTACCCATTCTTCCTGAATTGTTCATGTAGGTACCTTCTCTCCAGTTGTTTAGTTTAGATACTACAGTGGGTTCTCATCCTGCCATGTAGTGTTCTGACGCAACTCTTTTTGTATGATAGTGGATGAATACTTTTGAAACTAAGACTGAGTGGAGTGTTGGTGGTCTTGCGATAAACCATGGTTTCTAGGTTTCCATCTAAAAGTGGTAATTGTCTAGCTGTTTCTTTCTCCATTGTGAACTGTATGTCTGGGAAGATGGAGTTTAGTAAGTTATGAAAGTCTTTCAGTGCATTTCTTTTGATAATGAGCAACGTGTTATTCACGTATCGGCACCATAATTTAGATGTGTAGTTTTGAAATGCACGGTGTTCTAGTTAGTGCAGGACAGTTTCTGCAATGACTCTTGATATTGGGGATCCCATGGGTGTCCCTTTTATTTGCTCATACATTTCCCTTTTGAATGTGAAGAAGGTATGTTGGCAGTACTGGAGCAGTTTCATGATTTGTGTCCTGGCTAGGTTGCTCTGATCTGTGTGGTACTCTTCTAGTTTTTTTTAATCTATTACTTCATATGCTAAGTGAAGAGGGATGGATGTAAATAGGGATGCTGTGTCATCAGGAGCCACATTTAAGCCTTGTAGTTTTTGTCAAAAATTGTGTGGATGATGTGACTGTGTTGTTCGACTTGCTCCCTCTCATGTATGAAGGCAAATATATGTGTCCCAGGGTAATGTTGCTTAGTATCACATAATCCTGTAGAGCAGGCATGTCAAACTCGCGACGTCATGTGATGTCGCATGACGTATCGGAGCTTTTTCTCCATTGCCGGCAATGGGGTGGGCGCAGTTTTGGGATGATGCATCCGGCCCATGGGCCGGCAGTTTGACACCCCTGCTGTAGAGAGAGGTTCTCTAAGGATGGGCTCCAGCACAAGTCCAAAAGCTTGGAAGACTAAATTTTTGGTCCACTGGTGACTGACCCAGATTGGATCTTGGATTCTTTATGTTTAATGTTAGATCTGTTTGTCATTTGGGATTTTATTCTTTTTCTTTTCTTTTATACACAAGATTTTTTTTTCTTTTTGTTGTTAGTTGTTAGCAAGCAAAGTTAAAACCAGAAGCCAATTTGGGTTTGTCAAAACAGATCATGCCAAACAAATCTTATTTCATTCTTTGTCAAAGTGACTAAATTAGTGGACCAGCGAAATGTTATGGACATAGTATACTTGGATTTCAGTAAGGCATTTGACAAAGTAGACCATAGCCTACGTCTTAGTAAGTTAGAAAAATGTGGGATAGATAGCATCACCACCACATGTATTTGTCACCGGCTGACAAACCACACTCAATGTGTAGTCCTTAATCAAACTACATCTACATGGAGGGAGGTAAGCAGTGAGGTACCCCAGGGTTCTGTTTTAGGCGCAGTACTCTTCAATATCTTCATAAATGATTTAGATGATGGAATATAGGGGAACTGATCAAATTTGCACACGAAACCATACTTACAGGAATAGCCAACAATCCAGAAGATAGGCTCAAGAGCCAGATGGATCTTGATAGACTTGAACATTGGGCCTGAAATGTTATGAAATTCAGTGTAGAGAAAAGTAACGTTTTACATGTAGGCAAGAAAAACCAAATGTACTTCTATAGATTAGGTGAAACCTAGCTCAGAAGCAGTAACTGTGAGAGAGATCTTGGAGTCCTAGTGGACAATCACTTAAATATGAGCCAGCAATATGTTGCAGCTGCCAAAAAAGCCAATGCAATCCTAGGCTGAATTGACAGAAGGATAGAACCAAGTTCACGTGAATAATGCCTTAGTAAGTCCACTCTTGGCATACAGCGTCCAGTTTTGGTCACCACAATATAAAAAGGATGTTGAAACTAGAAAGGGTGCAGAGAAGAGCAATAAAGATGATTAGGGGCTGGAGGCTAAAACATGTAGAACAATTGCAGGAATTGTATATATCTAGTCTAGTGAAAAGAAGGACTGGAGTGACATGAGAGCAGTGTTTCAAAGAAAAGAGGGGTCAACCTATTTTCCAAAGCACCAGAAGGCAAGGCAAGAAACAATGAAGGGAAACTAATCACTGGAGGCTTTTAAGAAGAGACTGGACAGCCATTTGCCTGAAATGGTATAGGGCAGGGGTAGGCAACCTTGGCTCTTTTAGGACTCGTGGACTTCAACTCCCAGAATTCCTGAGCCAGCTGGCTCAGGAATTTTGGGAGTTGAAGTCCACGAGTCCTAAAAGAGCCAAGGTTGCCTACCCCTGGTATAGGGTCTCCTGGTTGAGCAGGAGTTTGGAACAGAAGACTTCCAAGGTCTCTTCCAACTCTGTTATTCTGTTAAAATCCCCAAACAAAATGTTAAACAAAAATGGTACAATTTTTTCCTACTTGACATCATAAGCTGTGGTTCCTAATATAGTTAAAACTTGAGAACATTTTAAAATATGTTGAATGTGATAAATTGATGATCAGAAGTAACATTTACTAAAGATCTAGGTAAAAATCAGACTTTAAAATAGCATTAAACTTTCTCAGTTTTATATATATATATATGTTCATTTCATTAAAAAAATTATTGTTTTCCAGTGATTTCAATTTTGATTGTTAATTTTTGGAAATTAATTTATGCTTTCTAATATGGCATAACTAACTTATCAGTATTAGTTTAGGAAAATCATTGCAATAACTGCTTTTCTACATAGTATAAAAGCTTACTGATGCTTATTTGTCTGCAAGCTGCTATTTTTTATTCAACTTTCCTAAATTCCAAACATCTGTTATATTCTTATATTTTTTAACTAAGTTATGACAAATGCATTTTTTTGCTTCAGTACTAATCCAAGATGTAATGTTCCTTTCTTTAGATGATAAAGTATTTCTGTTGTTGTGCATGTCTAGTGTTTTGTATGTCGTATATTGCATTCAGAATATTTTTTTCCTTCTCAACTATCCACAATGCAATGCCGTTCCCATGATGCACCTCTGCTTGCTGTTTACCTGTATGTTAATTCGCTTGAATCCCATTGGCCACTGCCATCATGTGCTCGCTGCCTGTCCTTAAAAAGACTCAGTCGACTGCCAAAGCAATGAAGCGACCTCTTGAAGCAGCCGTAGACCTGGTACTTTGACTTTCACCTTTTGCTTTGCATGTAGCTTTTCCAAAATGCAAATTAATTTAATGTTATCCGAATTGTATTCTCAATTATAAGGCATAATTTTGATATTTAAGTAATCTCATTTTCACATGTTATTATGGCAGAATAACCTAAGATCTTTTCTAAGCAAATTTCATCTTCAGTTGACTTATTTTAAAAGTTGAAGTGAAGGAAAAATGTGTTTTTATCATTGACACTGTTTATTCTATAATAAATAACACGTGCCTTTTATAAATATAAACAAATACAAATAACACTTCAGTCATATTTTAACCTTATTTAAAAAAATAGTTAATGTTTTTTTTAGGCTCCCCTTTTCAGTTTAATTATTATGATTCTATCATTTTATTTTAATTGTGCTATGCATTAATTATCGGTAATAATACAATCTATTTTACACTGCTGCCTTTCGAACCTGGCAAGGCTTTTTCAACTGTTAAAAAAGCTATAATAATTACACAGTCTTCGTTTAAGATATAAAACTATGTGTATAGATATATATGGAGATATATATATATATATATACATATACATGTATGTGTGTGTGTGTGTGTGTTTGTATTTGTGTGTGTGTATGTGTGTATTTAATTCACAGGCCTTTCCACCTGCTGTCCTTCATCATTTACCAAAGAGACAAGCACTTGAGAAAAGCAATGGTGCCAGTGCTATTTTTAATCCCAGTTTCTTGCACTACCAACAGGCTCTTGCTAGTGCACAGTTGCAGCAACATGCATCATTTATTCCCACAGGTATGTTCTTTTTAGAAGTAAAGAAATATTTTGATTCCTTTGTTTTTGAACAAAAAAAGCTCCATGTGATCCCATTCCTTGTGCTTTCATCTAAATCAGGGGTAGTCAACCTTGGCTCTTTTATGACTCGTGGACTTCAACTCCCAGAATTCCTGAGCCAGCTGTGCTGGCTCAGGAATTCTGGGAGTTGAAGTTCACGAGTCATAAAAGAGCCAAGGTTGACTACCCCTGATCTAAATAATTGTGTCCTTTTGCCTCCTCTTTTAGGAGGATATTGACAGTACTTTTTTTCTTTTTCACCTTTAGTATTTCTGAAGGATATTATAGAATGTTTAGAAGTGTGTAAAGAGGATCAAAAAGTTTTCAGTCTGAACCATTTGGTCTTTTTTATATGTTTCAACAGTCTTTTGGAAAGGGGCATGTTCTTGTCTCAGTTCTTTGGCATCTTTGAAGAACGATATATGTTCTATGTAGATATTTCCTATGTAGAAAATATTTTTCTTAAAATGTCTATGTAGATATTTTAAGGACTCAGAAGGACAAAGCAAATATATTAAGATTTACTGGGAATACATTGTTTTTGTAGTTGCTACTAAATCCTGCCTTTATTTTGTACAACCCAAGGCAGAGTCCAGGTAGTCCTTGACTTACAACCACAATTGAGCCCAAATTTTCTATTGTTAAGTGAGACATTTGTTAAGTGAGTTTTGCCCCATTTTATGACATTTCTTGCCACAATTGTTAAGTGAATCAGTGTGGTTGTTAAATTAGTAACCCGGTTGTTAAGTGAATCTGGTTTCCCCATTGACTTTGCTTGTCAGAAGATCACAAATAGTGATCACATGATCTCGGACACAGCAACCGTCATAAATATGTATCAGTTGACAAGCATCTCAGTTTTGGTCATATGACCATGGGGATGCTGCAAAGATTGTAATTTTGAAAAACGGTCATATGTCACTATTTTCAGTGCCGTTGTAACTTTGAACAGATACTAAGTGAACTGTTGGAAGTCGAGGACTATCTGTACATTATGCTCCTGCTTCCTATTCTGTTTTTCCTCTAAACAATTTTTCTGTGAGGTGGGTTTGTCCTCTCCTTCTCTGTTTCTGATGTATACCAAAGGCTACTCTTTTATTGCAGAGGAAAAATTCTGTTTCATATCTGTTACACTGTCCATCTGCTATCACATTTGATGCTAACTTGAGGCCCCACGTACTACGTCATATGAGACAGTTTCACAAAGTCAATGAAATCTGGCCATAGCATAGAATATGATAACAAGAATCTCCTATCATTGTAACATTAAGTTACATGTCTAATTCTTTGTCTTCATCTTTTTCCTGCTTCGGACTGCCATTTTAATATTTGCTAGAAGGATCTTAAAGTTTTTGAAAAGTATTTGCCTAATGTTAATCTACCCCATGATTTGCTTTTCCTTATGCTCCAATGGAGGCATTAAAAAGATTTTTTTTAAAAAAATCACCAATGCAGAATCAGTTCTATGCCACTGATTATGTGTCGGTTGCCTACATTAAGACCACGATTCACTGATAAATATGTATACAGTTTGCTTTGTTGCAATAACCCACATGTATCCATCCATCAAATTCTGATCTGATCTTATTTGTAACATAAAAGGGACCTCAAAAGAAAATCATATCATGCCATTAAGAGAACAACATGTGAATATAAAACTCACTATTTCTTATGTCGATAATACTAAACTGTAATCTAAAGTTTGACATTATGCCCCAAGTGAATCAGTGTTAACAAGCAGAATATTCTACAAAAACATTTTAACAGTACTGTATACTCATACACATTTTGCTGCATAGTTGTTTCACACATATGAGTTCTGTCAATTTGAATGGTGCTTAATATTAGGACAAAAAGAAAAAGTAGAAAAAATGGAAAGAGGGATCCATAACTAAGGCAGAATATCAGAATACAGCCTGAATCTGCAAAAATGAAGTCAAGAAAGCTAAAGCTCAGAATGAAATAAGACTTGCAACAAATGTCAAAAATATTTTTAAAAAAGTTTTTTTCAACATGTTAAAAACAAGAAAAAAGGCAAGGAAACAATCGGTCCATTAATGGGAGAAGATGGCAAGGAAGTCATGGGCAGCAGGGAGAAAACAGAGCTGCTTAATTCATTCTTTGCATCTGTCTTCATGCAAAAGGAAAAACAGCTCAATCTCTACCAAGAACAGAATCATAAAAGACAGACTAGGAATACAAATTAAAATAGACAAGAAAATGGTAAGAGAACACCTGTCCACCCTAGATGAGTCCAAATCACCAGAATCAGATGGATTACATCCCAGAGTTCTGAAGGAGCTGGCAGACGTGATCATGGAACCATCAAACCATATCTTTCAAAGATCCTGAAGCACCAGGGAACTACCAGAAGATTGGAAAAGAGCTGATGTGATTCTCATCTTCAAAAAAAGGGAACAAATGGATCCAGGAAAACTACAGACCAATCAGCCTGAGATCAATACCTAGGAAGATCCAGGAAAAGATAATCAAAAAATAGATTTTGAACCACAGACGCAAGCAAAGTTATAACCAGAAGCCAACACGGGTTTGTCAAAAACAGATCATGCCAAACAAATCTTATTTCATTCTTTGACAAAGTGACTAAATTAGTGGACCAGTGAAATGATGTGGACCTAGTATACTTGGATTTCAATAAAGCTTTTGACAAAGTAGACCACAACCTACTTCTTAGTAAGTTAGAAAAATGAGAAATAGACAGCATTATCACCAGATGTATTTGTAACTGGTTGACAAACCACATTCAATGTGTAGTCCTTAATGGAACTACATCTAATGGAGCAAAGTAAGCAGTGGTTCTCTCTTAGGCCCAGTATTCTTTAATATCTTGATAAATGACTTAGATGAGGGAATAGAAGGGGAACTCATACAAATTTGCAGACGACACCAAGGCAGCAGGAATAGAGATCACATTGTAAAACAGTTATTGTTATATATTCTAGTCAAACTGAATTCTTTTTAAGGAGAATGTCCCATTGTTAAATATTAAATGAAATGTTTACTGTATAGATTATGATATATAACACAGATTATGAATGGATAACATCTGATCATTGACTGTAGTAAAGAATTTCATTTGATTTGTATTTATAATGGCTTGTATATAGAGATGGAATGTTTTAAAATGGCAATGAAGCTATGAATGGCCTTTTTGAATTTGTGTTTAACTCACTTTGGTTTTTCCTTGGGATGCTTGGATCTTCGAATGTTAACTCTAAACAGCTAACCTGTTTCTTCCCTTTATTCACCTTTTTTCACCTACCATTGCATGACACAGGGTCAGTTTTGTGCATGACACCTGCTACCAGTATTGGTAGGTTTCAAACTTATTTATTGATCTCTTTTTAATAGCATTCTCTACCTTTCTTTGTTTGGAGAACTAAAATATAAATTAGACATAAATGGTTATTTTGAATTTTAGCTTGAATTGTTAAAACATTTGACATTTATTTTTTTAAAAAAAGAAATAAAACCCTGCTATTTAGATGCATCATCATTTGCAATACCAGTCCTACTGCAAAATGCACTTATATCATGAAGTTGTGTGCTTTTGCTTTTTTAACTTATATTTTATAATGCTAGCATTATGTGACAAACTATTGAAAAAAGCAATTTAACTTCATTAGTACTTTGAAGTTTCATAGTGGTATGCCTACATTTTCTTTTTTGCTGTGTTGTAAAAAAGTTTTATCAGAATTTCCCAGAAATGTTATCTTAATGTTTGCAATAAAAGTAAGCATTAAATATATTTCATTCAAAACTATTATAACTCTATTTAACATGCAATAAGTCTTTTTAGAAGTTATTCTCATTTAATTCAATGATATATAGAAGTACAGTACAGTTTTAAATTTTGAAATATTAGAAAATTTTCCTTTTCTAATTTAGCCATTTGTCCAACAAACTTTTTCAAATTAATTTTGAGTATTCTCATTATTAGGGTGCTGTTTGAATTTCCTGCCTTAATACTTATGTCTTAAAATCAAGGTTTTAGATTGTGTTTTCCATATGCCCTCAACTTTCTCATACCCCACATATGTGGAAAAATGAATCAACATTAATTATTATAATCTTCACTTTCCTTATTGAGATTATATAAAATGAACAATTTTAGATAGTAATTAGGCTACATCTAACTGTATTATAAAATAAGTTAAGTGTGCTTGTAGACCACAAGTGTGAGTGTGTATATATACACACATATATATATACATGCATATACATAAAGACTCACACGTATATAAAATAAAAAGTCAAAAGAAAATATGAATTCAACCTCAGGTTGTTTTAATAGCTACATTTTTCCATTTCCAAAATTAAGAAGTTCATTATATTTTTACTTCAATATAATAATGGAACTTCCCTGATACAAAATTACAATATAGAATAAACTACCCCAACCTTTATCAAATGGCTGCCATTATGTTAGAATACTATTCATGAATGTAATAAAAATTTGAACTCATATTTGAATTTTAAATATAAACTATTTGAAGGTGCTCATGAAATAGTGAGCTCTCAACATTTGTTTATCCAAACAGCCTGGGAAGAAAGAAAAGGTTGGAATACAATTTCTGCTACCTTTATTTAACACTATTTTTTCATCGATATATACTAGGACAGCGATGGCAAACCTTTTAGAGACCGAGTGCCCAAACTGCAACCCAAAACCCACTTATGTATCATCGGGTACCGGGTGGGCGTGGCCCATTGGGTGGGTGTGGCCAATCGGGTGGGCCTGGCCCATTGCGTGGGCGTGGCTGCAGTGGTAACGGCAGACTGGGTGGGACTAAAAAGTTCAATCAATCAATTCCAACTTTGCGAGATCTTTTTTTTTTTCCGTGAGAAGTTGAAATTGATTGATTGATTGAACCTTTTTTTTTTTTTGCACACGGCGGCAGAGGCCTAAAGTGAAAAGGTTTTATAAAACCCAGCTGAAG